CGCTGTCCGGCCGGAGGCTGCCCGGCCTCCCCTGGCCTGCCCTCCTCGGGTGGCCTGGCGCTGGGCCGGGCCCTCCCGGCTCTGGTTGGGTTGGGTTGGGTCTGGTTCCGTCGGATGGAGTCGGTTGGGTTGGGCTGGCTTGGGCTGGTTTGTGTCGGGTTTGGTTTTGTTTGGTGCAGTTTGTTGTTTTTTGAAAGAAGGGACCAGCAGCTTCCATCGCCCTGGCCAGGACTCCACCCCGACAAGCCTGCCGTGCCCAGCCTCAGCACGCGCAGGAGCTTCGTCCTGGGTCCCGGGGACGCCGTTACCAGCCTCGCTGCGCGCGTGTCGGCTCAACCGAGAGCTAAACCAACCCACCTGCCCGGCCGCCTCTCCTTTCCTCTGGACAGGTCGTCTCCCAGAGACCTTCAGGAGGTGCCCCACGCTGCGACCAGTTACACGAGACCGATAAAGGCTGCGGTAAGTAACCTGATACACAACCCGCGCCCCTGTCTGCTGCGTGCCATTGTTTTCAAGGGGATACGGTATCAGCCGTATTAATAGTTAATTTAAAATCATGCAACTGGAGCCGCTGCTCTTTGTGGAAGGTTTCGTGCAGGCCGGGCCGTGCATTATGTATGGGAGCAGCGGCCTGGCTGCGCAGCCAGCATTGCCAAAAGGAGCCCTGGAGAGGCAAGAGGGAAGCGAGTCAGGCCGCGGTCAGCTCTACGCTGTTCAGTCAAGGAGGATCAGCTTTTAACAGCCACGTACGCATGTAAGGTACAGCGCGACAAGTAGGGTTCACGGTAAGTTTAAGTGGAACCTGTCTCCATTACCTCAACAGTCTCCTCCACTTTTCAAGGATTTTTTTTTTTTCCGACAAAAGCTGCGGGCGCCACCCGTGTTCCCTCGTGGGTTAGCATGAACGGCGCAGAGAGGGTCCGTGAGGAAGCACCGATGCTGCCACCGTCCCTCCTGGCAGCACCACTGAGCAGAGAGACCGAGGCCTCTGCTCTGCAGCTTCCTGGAGCCTCATCGACTTCGGTGTGTCCAGCTCACTGTGGTCTGGACCACGATTCCTCAGCGGAAAGCTATGGTGCAGCTTCAAGTGATTATCCCCAGTTACCATCTCAACAACACAGACGTGCACAGCCGTGGAAACAGAGACACGAACGTGTTGGTGTAGTTACTGCAGAGCTCCCACCTCAGAGCTGATCCCGAGGGTGCCTGAGCATGCGTAAGCTCCTGAGCTCCACCATCCTCAACGTCAGAGTCCTCAAACTGCCCAGGAGCAGGGGCAGAAGCCAAAGGGTTTCAGTGCATCAAACCACTTAGTCCATTAAATGCCCATTTCCCCTGACCAGCAGCACATCTTAGGCTGTATCTCCACTTGAGGAGCTCTGCTTGTTTCAAATGCAGACGCATCTCCCGATTTAAACACTAAACTGAGTCTCCGGGGGTGCAAATTAAGTCCCAGGGGGTGCAAATCCTTCCCTGCCTCCCACTTTTACTGCCTGTGAGTCATCCCGACCTGATGGCATTTACCCAGGCAAAATGGGGGAGAGGGAACAGAGCACGGCATCCGTGTCTCCCGACTTATCAGAGTAATGTCTGTTTGCTTTACGTCGTGTGGGTGCAGAACACAAGTTATTTCGTTCCAGGGTAGTGGAGACGAGACCTACCACACGTAGTGATTTGCTTGTGGCGATAAGCCAAATCTGTGGCAGAGCCACGCTGTGCTCCACCACCTTATTTCCATTAAACCTCGGACTTAAAACGATAGGATGATTGCATGGGACTGTCTGTATTTTCCATGTTCTCTGCCAGCTTTTTACCACCTCTGAATCTCAATTTTCTTGGCCAGGTGAGGACTCGTATCAAGCTATGTGGCTGTACATCAGGGCCAAAAGCTTTTCATCTGAAGAGCAATTAAGGAGTTAAATATCATCTTTCTCCTTTTCCTCTATTTTAAAAACAGGAGAGATTATCTACGTGTGCTTCGGAGACGGAAGGCAAATAAAATAAGCTGCCTGGAT